TGACTGATTGAATCCAGTAGACAGTTCTACTGTATGGGGCGGAGACGTGGAGAACTACGAAATCCATCATCCAGAAGATACAGGTCTTTTTAAACAGTTGTCTATGCAAGATATTTCGCATCCATTGGCCAGATACTGTCAGCAACAAGCTACTATGGGAAAGAAAAACCCAGATTTCAGCGGTAGACGAAATCAGGAAAAACCAGAAAAATACTTCAAGGAAGAGTATAACACACTATTTTTGTTTTATGTAATGAATAGCGTACACAAAGTAATTTATTAGTGAACTGTTTCGTGAACTGTTAATGGCCTTTTCTCAGCCATTCAAACTATTGTTTATTCATGGTACTTTTTAAATACTCAGCATATTGAATGACTGTAGCAACAAATGAATTGGAATATGAACATTACAGTGGTCGGACAAGCGAGGGAATGCACATCAATATATTGTATAGAAACATTATGGTAAAAAATAGAGAATCAATCGAACGAATATATATCTATTAACTAAAGATATATTTCATATCAGATTGGAGATTTGTGAAGATTGTAGTACTTTCACAGTTAAATTCGCGAGTCATTCTAGTCTGAACCACCAATGAAAACCTGGAAGCACAGAACGGGCCTTTTCATCCTGTTGTGGGACTTCTCAGTAGTGCTCGCCTACAAATCCCCATTCTGATAATAATGTGACCACTAGTGAATAGTTTCAAGATGAATTTCCTGAAAATCTAGTGAGAAGCTACGACCAGTCTCGTACAGTCCGTGTCGCATTTGATACAGTTATCTACCTCAGGCAATGAATAAAGTATTGTACAAGATCATGGATCAATTGAAGTTAGGCATTGACATCGTGGGAAGTTGGCCCAGTGATCTTAAGGTTAGGCGTTCGCGCCCAAGGCTTGGGTTCAATTATCCCATGCAGGATAGTGGGTAATCACTGTTGAGGAGTCCCGTACTAGGACGAAATAGCCGTATAGCAGTTACGGGTTTTCAATAGTAGTCTATCCTAGATCAACTACTGAATTCATCTATTTCTTACTTAAATGCAAACTTTATCAATAATAAATCTTAACTTTCTAATGTTTATCACTACATTTGATCACTTAGATACACACTACGAGTACGCCATATGAAAGCATTATAACTTTTAAAGTCTTGTTCGTGAAAACAAATTAGTTCCAGTACTTTATTAAACCTGGCCTAATTTACAGTTTATGATGTATAGCATTGTACTCTTTCTACTAACGATGAGGTATTTATGTACTAATTCATTTACAGACGATCATAAAATTAAATATTACTTCTCACTGTTGGTTACACACTTTGAAATAAATGTAATAATGATTTTACTGAACTGCTATGCTTTTGTTTGATGTTAGTATGTAAGGTCATAGTTGTGTATATTTACAATTGACTACTGATACTCAAAAAACGTTTAATTAAATTAATCATAAAAAAAATGGATAGTGTCTAGCAGTGGAATCCAGAACGTACATTTCGTTCTCTTTAGAACCCATTAGTTGTACGTATCTGCATCTGAAAGTTGATGCTCACTCCGTGACTCAAACCCAGTACCGTTCGCTTTAAACGCCATCGCGTCATCCACTAAGCTACTGAGTCCTGATATCCACAAGTAAACAATATCAAGTGAATTTGATCATTAGAATTTATTTTATTATTATTTATTTAAACACATAAATATTGCTACAAAGGAGAACCAGATAAATACGCACCTCACAAATCTCATTTGATTTGTGTGACGGCTGTGATACTTCTCAGGTACCCAGACTGAAACAGGTGGTTTTCTTAGGGAACTACATCCCGAGCATTTAACCTAAAGGTCTGATCCACAAAGCAGTGGAGTATCGTGAGGAGATGCAGTCTCATGGTAGCCGGTGACCAACGATTGATTCATACGTTATTTGGTCCCTCAGAATACTGGAGCCCATGTGCACCATTGTTTTGGAATGAGGGTTTTCCAACTCCCCTAGGTGGACTTTCCTTGTCCACCGACCTGGTTAAAGCGCTGGACATTCGCTTTTCGTCCTCTCAATTTTGTAAACAACAACACCGTGGCCACGAGAAGGCAATGAGGAGGACTTCCCTGGCAGAGGCTATATATTCGCGTGGCCATATGAAAGCATTTCTATTGGGGAGTGGACTCTCCCCACTGTCGGCCATACTAGGGCCGACTTACAATATTTTGACTTGATCCTAACTTAACATCATATAGTACACAAATTTATTGATTAAATTTTGAGTGAAAAATCTAGATCAATATTAAAGTGTCACCGTTATTTATGAAACATAGAAATCAGTTTCATTTTTTTACATTTTGAAGTGATGAATTCCTGTTTTTTTAATAAGAAGTCACATATTGATAATAAATATCTGTTCAGCCCTTCTTGGTTTACAACTGTGATATTTGTGCCTAATTCTTCGTTAATATTTATTCATGAAGTGTTTATCATGTTAACGCTATGTCAAATATCACTACTGATTATGAATACAGTAATTATTGATGCTGTGATATCTCATTGAATTTAAGTGGTTACTTATATGACCTTGATAGTTTCTTATCATCTTATAACTAGTTGGCATACAGATAAGCTAGATCAAAATTCCATTATTCATAATTGTGAGAAAGCGTAATTGTTTACAGTGATTTCATATGGCTTTTCTACTTGTCATAGTTGACAATTGGTTTTTCAACCCAAATATCGGGTTCATTTGGCACCAAATACTCATTAATGAGTATATATCACTTTGCTTTCATATTCTAATGAGTTTGTAAACAGTTTTATAATCAATTACTTTCGACTATCTCACTCTTTATATATGAACTTGTTAACAGTACAACTAGATATGAATATCTGTTTGGAAATATACCCCTAATAGAAGGACCTGTTGTCTGATAGACTACTTATAACTAGATATCCATGACAGTTAAACAAAACAGATAAATTAAACAATCTTTACATTTCCGGTACAAATTCCATTATAACAATTGATTATTTCTATTTCAAGACAGCTTAATAAACTGTTTCATAGTGGTAGAATATATTTCAAGTACACTTGAAACACAATTTTGTTGAACATATTTATTATATGGGAGATTTTTAAAATTATATTATAAAACATAAAACTTATTTTACAGAATCTGATTGGTTTGGTACAGCAGCTTTACAAATCAGTTCACAATAAAACATGATATCTTGAAGTGTGCAAACTTAACTTGTCATTATACACGACATTTTAGATTGTTTGTGTGGCTGTATATTAATTGACTTGTAGTGTGATTATATATATATATATATATATATATATATATATATATATATATATATATATGTAGACAGATGTAGAAATTATTTTCAATTTCGTAAGGGCGAAAGGCGAATGTCCGGCGCTTTAACTGGGTTGGTGGACATGGAAAGTCCACCTAGGGGAGTTGGAAAACCCTCATTCCAAAACAATGGTGCACATGGGCTCCAGTATTCTGAGGGACCAAATAACGTATGAATCAATCGTTGGTCACCGGCTACCATGAGACTGCATCTCATCACGATGCTCCACTGCTTTGTGGATCAGACCTTTAGGTTAAATGCTCGGGATGTAGTTCCCTAAGAAAACCACCTGTTTCAGTTTGGGCATCCGGGCAGTATCATAGCCCTCACACAATTAAATGAAATGACAATTTTTGTGTGGCGCATATATATCTGGTTCTCCCTTGTACAAATATTTGTGTGTTGAAATAAATAAAAATAAGTATAGATTATAAGTATATAGTATACAGGATTCAGTTTTCCATCAGTTAATGTTTTAATCAATAGATTAATTTTTACCGTTGAATTCATGAGTCGGTCTAAGCTAAACCATCATAGAAAACCTCATTCTGATAATAAATTAATTAATAATTTCTTGTAGATTTAATGTAGTTTAAAGAAAGTTTTTAAATTACTTAGATTTAAATTTGCAAAAGATATTCCCTCATTGTTCATGTCTTCCTTAATATATATATTACGAGGACACTCTAAATATGTTCACAATACTAGAACAAATTACTTGTCAACTGACTGTCTACTTTCCTATCAAATCATCAACAAATGGAATTTATTAGGTCAACACATTCGTTAGTGTTTCCAAAAGAAAGTTAGATCAACTGAGAGACTACCATCGCCAAGACTAACACATGCCACTTGATTCACTGTCCTTTCCAAATTGAAACAAACTGATACAGAACTAAAGGAACCAGTTTATTATATCTTTGTGCAACCACTTTACTGTTCAAAATAAACGTTTAAACTAACTCTTCAATTCACATGGATATGTTTGTTTGAATCTTCCCATTGATGTTTTAGGACTGCAACTGGTCAGTTTGTAATTGGCATATATGCATACTGGGCGTATTGCCTCGATATTGTTTGAAGTCAAAAACTTTATAAGCAAACATAAATGGTTGCTAGCAGTGGAATCCAAGACGCGCGTTTCATGCTATTTGGGACTTGTCAGCTTGACGTACTTGCATCCCAGTTTTGATGTTCACTCAGGGACTCGAATCCAATATCTTTCGCTTCAAACGCCATCGCGTTATCCATTTAGCTACTGAGTGGATTGCATAAGCAAGTGGCTATCAGGACTCAGTAACTGAATAGATAATACGATGGAGTTTAAGATGAACGGTACTGGTTCCAAGTCCTGCAGTGAATATCAACTCTGAAATGCAGTTATATCCAGCTGACGAGTCCCAAATAGAACAAAATGCTCTTTTTGGTTTCCATTACTACCCACTATCAATCTTTGCTTAACTTTTCAATTATTTTAACTTAAGAACACATTTAAACCCTTTTATATTATTTCTAATAATTCATTAAACAAAACGAGAAAAAAAAACACAATCATTAAATAGCTACAATAATTTAATTTTCAATATACCAATTCATTTCATTCAATAACAACAAAATTTATGTTTACATTTATGATTACAATACACTCACCTATTTATATAAATATATTCCAATTTTGTAAATAAATAAACATATATTATTGATGAATTTTTCTCTTTTTTTTTCTTTTTTTTTGTATAGAAAATTTCACAATAAATACCAACAAAAAAAAAAATAAATCAATAATTTTTTTGGCTAAAAAAATAAATAAATAAGGAACTAAATGTTTATTACATTCAAGATCATGTATATATTCCCCATAGTAACTGTTTAATCATATTAGTAGTATTCTAGGATTTCATTGAATTAATGAATGATATTCTCTTCTTTTTTTTTTCTTCCAAAGATTTAATTCACATTTTAAATCATAGATGTAAACAAGTGCATACAATCAATTTTCTTTGATATAGTAAAATAATTATGATATGAATTAGATCTTAATAACTTATAAATTAATAATCATAATGGGTGCAATCATTCAATATTTTTACTCTTTTTTCTAATTGGTTAATTTTATTGACCAATCATTTTTTAAGAATTAAATTGAATATTTATGTAATAAATGAATAAATCAATGAATTATGATTTTTTTTTAAAACCTGAAAGTAATGATTGGTTATTGAAAATAAAAAAAAGTGAATTAAAAAAATAAAATAAATTTGGAAATGATTGGAAGAAATTATTGTACTATATTTGAGTAACTAATGACTTCTCACTAGAACTCCAAGAATTACCTCATGAAGCTATTCACTTGTTAGCATATGATCATTATCACAACAGGGTTTTTGTGAAGATTTTAGTAATTTTATGTAGTTAAGATCATGAGTCAGTTGAATCTAGACCATCATGGAGAACCGGGAAGCACTGAACGGCCGTTTCGTTCTATTGTGGGACTCCTCAACAGTGCGCATCCACGATCCCACCTCGCGTGATTCGAATCCATTAGCTTTATTAGCTTTATTTTGATCTTTGATTTATTATCATACGATTCTTGAGTTATAATCAGTTTATTGATTACTTTGGTTTGTATAAAAACTCAGTATGTTTGTAAATAATGATTCATATTTCCGAGGCTGTATTTGTGTTCTGGACTTAACGGGCTGGGCTAGGCATATAGCAGGGCCGATACGCAATCAAGACTGCTCGTACGATTTCAAGTATCATTTGCGTCCGATCAATAAATCTGCTACCTCTATAATTGCACATTCATATATATTACGAGTGCATACGTTATAACAGTTTGTGACTGTATTTGTTGAAATAAAATGATGATAATAATAGGAATTGTAACATAAAGTGTACCACTGAATTTTGAAAAGATTAATTCACCATTTTTATACATCATTGGCGTAAGGTAAGTGATGTAAATGCAAGAAATAGAAATTTATCATAAATAACCATACACAACTAGTCTTCTTTTTCAAAATGTATTGCATCCAGTAGAAGAAAAAGAAGAATCGTTCAATCATCTATATGTGAAAATAATGTTATTTCTAAAAGAAACGCATGAATAACTATATCGAGATGAGAGAAAACTAAATTTTTAAATAAGACATAAACAGTAATATTATAGAGTTGAGATCATGAATCGATTGAAGCCAGACCATCATGGAAAACCCTGGACGGACGTTTCGTCCTATTGCGAGATTCCTCAGCAGTGCGCACCCACGATCCCACATCGCGAAATTCGAATCCACGGCCTACCAGTCTCAAGCCAAAGCACTTAACCGATAGACCACTGAGCCGGTTGGCATCCAACGGTGTTAATGTCTAACTTCAATCGATCCACGAAATTGAGAAACCATTGACCAATGTCCTCAGTGACTTTATATCTCCCAACAGACCTGGTTGAACTCCACTGGTTACTACTTCTCATGCGCACTGCTGAGGAGTTACACACTAGGATGAAACGGTCGTTCAGTGCTTCCAGATTTTCCGCAGTTGTCTAGCTTCAATTGACTCAAGATCTCAACTATTTAAAATTACTAAAATCTTCACAAAAATCCCCTTCTCATAAATAGTAATAAATAAAATATTTCAATATAGAAAAGAGGATTCAAGTCAACAATCTTAGTCTTTATGTTTAGAGTATGTTTTGAAAGGTTTGATAACTTCCTTAGTCTTAGAAATCCTATATATCAATCAGAATAATTCTTTCCATCCCTTGTTTGTTTCTTTTTGCGTTTTTCATATCTCTTCTTCACTATATATATATAAGGGGGTTATTCACACATTTCTTGTTACGTAATTGTTAAGTGGTTATTATTTTAAAAGGTCTATTTCTTTTAGCTTTATTCAACATTACCACTCTGTTCTTATAATTACTACCATACTTGTTATTGCACCATTGTATTGCTTTTTCCTAATTATTTCGATTAGTTAAATAATCTGTAAAGTTGTTTTCATTGATTGATAAATTGCATTTGTTGGCTTAACACACTTAATGTATGGAAATGAATATTACTGATGAATTATATAACTGAAATCAATAATGTTGGATTACATAATTTGTTTTAAATTACGTGATGAGAATCTTGGGTATTTCAAAATACAAGTTTTATTTAAAGAAATGAAAATAATTGAATGTAATACTTATCGAATTAGGACATCAAATGAAGATACATTATAAACCATAGTGAATTCGATTATTGATTTCATTTGATTTGAAATTATTCACTAGTATTAATGAATGAAACCATAGAGAAAACAACGGTACACTTTCGATATTTTATAGTGAACATTATATGTTACAGTTAAAATATTTACAAATTACAACGTCAGTTAATCTTTGATGCAGCATGTTTCACAAGCCTACGTCAATAGAGATAACATTTTCATATATTTAAATAGTATTACTAAGTAATCCGAGTGTTACATATAAACTACTGTTTTTGGACGTACACAGAAAGTTGTAAGTCAATAAAGTTCAGTGAGTGAGAATTTGTGCAGAATTTGGAATTGAATTCTAGCCATCTAACTGAATGATAGCTTGATCGTCTTACAAGTAAAAAAAATTCTTTTTCTAGTCGCTTTTAATATACCATCGCTTTCAATCCTAAATAAACTATCTGATGTCTTTTAATTTTTTTTTTTAAATCAGTACCTATAGATCTTAATAAACACTGTTTCATGTTTGATTTTGTCATATTGTAGTGCGATTGGACTCTAAACACACAACCTTTGGAGCCGGGTATATAATTACTGAAAAGATTTACATTTAACAATTGATACGAAAAGAAGATTGACTATGAAGAACACGGGAGCATGAATTAATTCATCGGATGACATGGCTCAGCCTTGCAGACGTGATCATTTCTGTGTAACTTATCTCTTTTATTCATATTAAATATATTGTTCTATCTCCAGCCTAATTCTGTTCTACATCATATATTGGTGATTATTACGATAGGACAAGTCAGTGTAGACAATGATATGACTTCTATGTAAGATCTTATAGATTAAATAGTCACATCATGACAAATCTACAATTTTAGGGTTATGTCTATTATTAGAGCAGTACCGTAATTCTACTATATATATATATATGGTTGAATTGCATTCATAAGCATAAACGGTGATGGAAATACATAACTGTGCTTCACGTAACCATAAAACATATGTTATGGATAAAAACCATCTATTTCGCACTATAATAATCCCATGAAATCAACTATCAATAATAAGTTACTATAGATAGGAGGAAATAAATACACCTTTTCCCCCAAAAAAAATATTTCACATTTTTATGTGTGAAAAAGCAAACAATTTTTTTTCGAAATGAAGAAAATTTTCACCAGGTGTAAAATAAAAATTTTGTTTTATTATCTTCTATAACACAAAATAAAATTTTAAAAAAACAATTTGTCAATAATATAAAAATATACAATGAAATGAGAAATTCTTCCCTTCCTTTCACAAAACGAATTCTTTTTTCAAATTGGTAAAGTTTCATTACATAAAAAGGGAAAAACCCCAAGACACACATAGCAACAACAACAACAACCAAAAAAAAAGAGAGAAATACGCCGACCTAAGTTTTCTTTTAATTTAAAAAGAAAATTTAAAAAAAAACAAATTTAAATCACCTAAAACAGATGTTGATTTCGACGCCAGAAAAAAAAACAAAAAAAAATAATGGAAATATATCTGGTGCTTATAGATTGAAAAAAATATTTTTTTATTTTTCAATTTGAAGAAAAAAACTATCAGACAAATAATTTTTCTTTGATTGTGAACATGTAAATTATTGGTTTGCACGAATTAGTGTATTGAATATTGATTATTTGTCTTAATTTTAAAATTAAATCAATAATTTGTTTCTTGAGTAAATTTTTTTTTCTTTTTTCAATTAAATATTTAATAAAATAATTTAATTAATTCCGTAATATATCAATCAAAGAATCAATATTAATTATTTGATTCATTAATAAATTATATGTGTATAAGTTGAAATTCATTCTGCTTGTAGCTCCTCCGGAAATTGTTGCCAATCCAAAGACCACATAAAGGAGGAGAGTTAGACATGAAGTTAGCGAACCCATCTTGTAGAAAACTAACTCGTTAAAAAAGAACGCTAACCAGAAAAAATAATTGAAACCAGTTAAAATTTGCCCTGAGAGTTTGAAGGTCTTCATTGAGAAAAGTTATGACGTCTCATGATGAAAGCCTAGATTTTTTGGAAGTCATGAGGCCGATGCTCCTTCTAACAACCAAAGCAACAGTTTTTATGGGTACATTGAACGTCCAGATAATGTGGGAGACAGAGAGAGTCTTCCACATTGCTGTAAGAATGAGGAAATACAACCTGGGAGTGCTTGGAGGAAGTTGAGATTATTATTATTATAACTGACCAACCATTAAGTAAAAAATCAAATAATACCTCATATAGTTGAGATCATTAGTCAATTAAAGCTAGACCAGCATAGAAAACCTGGAAGCAGTGGACGTCCGCTTTGTTCTATTGTGGGACTCCTCAGCAGTGCGCATCCACGATCCTGAATCGCCAGATTCGAACCCACGACCTACCAGTCTTGCGCCAGAGAACTACAATCTCAACAAAACCCCCTTCTGAAAATTATATCTATCTAGTTTTTTTCAACTGAATACATTTTATCAATCATATCATAATATGACTACTATTTTCAGTGTCTAAACATTATGTAAACTATATTTTGATGTTAGATCATTTATTATAGTCAACAGAAAATTCTTAACCTAGGTTTTTCGCTAATTTTTCATTATCATTATGGTTTGTCAGTAATCTAGAAAAAATTAAGGCCTTCGAGTTTATGCAAACTCATGTTATCTAACGTGACGTTAATAATAAACAATGAAAATTCAAACTTTACTACTTTTAGTGAAGTAGATTGATATTAGTATATAAGTTGGATAAGTAAAATTATTTTAGGCATAAAACTATATTAATTAATTACTGGCTCCTAATCATTCCCT